TCAAGGTGAATAATGATGAGCTAAAAGCTGCAGTGGAAGCAAATCCATCTCAATGTCTCTGGGAATTAGCAGCAAGGTTTGACGTTTCCATTCCAACAATATTGGACCATTGGAAACAAATCAGCAAGGTAAAGCAGCTGAATAGATAGATGGGTTACGCAGATTACATAAGTGTTAGAAAACAAATTTCTCAAAGCATCCCTTTCTTTGCTGTCACAACATAAAGGTGAACCATTTCTATACCATATTGTTACATGTGATGAAAAGTGGTTTCTTTCTATAATTGCAAGCATTTGGCACAGTGGTTGGATGAAGTGCTGAAACACAACCCAAAACCAAATATTCATCAAGCAAAGCTAATAGTGTCTATTTGGTGGTCCTGTGCTGGTATTGTCCACAACAGCTTCATGAAAACTCGTCAGTTGATTACAGCAGATGTCACAGCAGCCAACTAGATGAAGTGATAAGGGTACTTGCGATTAAACAGCCAGATTGGTCAATAGAGACAGGGCCAATCCTCTTGTAAGACAACACTCGACCACAGGTCACACAGACAGCCCTGCTGTCATCCACTGTATTCACCAGATCTTGTACCAACTGACTACCATTTCTTCCAGGCTTTGAACCACTTCTTGCAAGGAAAAATATTCAATTCTCACCAAGCTGTGGAAAACACCTTTTGCAATTATTGCCACTTACTTTCCAGGCTTCTTCACTGCCGGCATAAACAAGCTACTGTTTAGGTGACAAAACTGTATTGACAGTTTAAATGTGTACTCTGATTAACTGTACTGCTTCTGGTTTGCGATATAATAAACAAACTTTTGATTTGAATTCGGGCATTTCTGATTTAGTGACCTTATTTAATAAGATTCAGAATCATCTTTGTTTCTTTCCCCAGAACTGTACTAACATGTACACACATTCGTTCTTTTGCTGGTAATCCCAGACTAATCCACACCTGTTGCCTCAGCATTCTCTATTTTTGATGGCTTTTGTGCAAGATTCTCCTGTGAGAATTTTCCTTCTATGACATTCCTGAACAAAACAACTATATAATCACTTCTGATTGTACAGGGAATAGAACAAACATTTAGTGAGAAGCCAAAAGTTGTGGTCTGAGCTCTGCCACTTAGAGCTCTACAGACTTTAATATGCTACTTTGCCTCTCTGAATATCATTTACCTTTTCTTAAAATGGAAGTAAGGATACCTGTTTAGCCTACCTTACAGATTGTGAAGTAAATCAAGTTACAGCATCCAACATGAATGAAGTTATAAATCCTCTCACTATTACACGTTTATACTGTCTCTCTAGTCAGCCATGATGTCTAACTAGATCTCCAGACATCAGAAATGTCCAACAGAAAGTAGAGTCAGAGAAGGACAAAGGAGGATAGAGAAGGGTAGGCCCAAATAATGGGCTCCGGGACCCAGCCCTGTTACGGGACGAGACGATCTTTTGCACTTCGGGATTCATTGGTTTTCTGGATTTAGCCACAGAGCATAAAGCAGCATTGAGCCTGTTCTTTAAAACATGATAACTTGCAGTAAGGATTGGAAACCAAACCTCTTTTAATTTATTTCTACAAATTAGAAAATTTTATATGTACAGTTGATGACCACAGTTTTATGAAATAAGAAAAAAATATTTCCCAGAAAACATAAACATAATGAGTAAACAAAAAAAAATTCACTGAAAAGTACTTTTCTTTGCAGTTATCAGCTAGCCTGTCCCAGATTATCCACCTACAAAGATGAACACTGTGATGCTGTGTGTGTCATGGATGCTGTGTTTCCCACAGCTGTGACAATCCTATAGATTTCAACATACGATGTGCATTACATATTGTAAGATTGATGAAATTAGTTAACATCTCTTTGTACTTGGAAAAAAATCACGTTTTGTTGATAATACTCATTGTCTGTTCCTCTATTTAAGGAGCCCAGAACTCTGGGCATCAGGAACCCATCACGTGTATTTGTATAGTATTTCAACACAACTTGAATAATTTTCTGTCTTTTTTCTGTTTTCTGTTTGTTTGTTTTTGTAATTGAGACAGAGTTTCACTTTGTCACCCTGAGTAGAGTACTATTGCGTCATAGCTCACAGCAACCTCCAACTCTTAGTCTCAAGGGATCCTCTTGCCTCAGCCTTACTAGTAGCTGGGACTACAGACACCTGCCACAACGCCCACCTATTTTTGTTGTTGTTATTTGGCTAGCCATGGGCCAGGTTCAAATCCACCAGCCCTGGAGCATATGGCTGGCACCCTAACCACTGAGCTGCAGGTGCCCAGCCTCTCTTTTTTCTTAAAGAAAAATGAAAGGTATTAATGAGAAATGTGTTTAAAATACTTAATTCAAAAATACTTTAAATATATCTATTATTCAATATAATTCTTCTTAGATGTTTGCCTAACCAGTTTAACTTCAGAATTTATGTCAGGGATTTTTTTTCTTTAAGTTCCTAATGTTTTGTTTACCATAAATGAATACTTTTTTTTCCTTTTGGCTGCCTAAGCAATCAACTGAATGACTTTGATAGGTCCCTATGTTGGTTGGCTGCACCTCACATGAGCCTTTTTTTTTTGAGACAGTCTCACTTTGTCGCCCTCAGTAGAGCACTGTGGCATCATAGCTCACAGCAACCTCAAACTCTTGGGCTCAAGCAATTCTTTTGCCTCAGCCTCCCAAATAGCTGGGACTACAGGCACTCACCACAACGCCCAGCTATTTTTAGAGACAGGGGCTTGCTCTGGCTCAGGCTGGTCTCGAAACCATGAGCTCAGTCAATCTACCTGCCTCAGCCTCCCACAGCACATGAGCCAATTTTTAAAGTTTTACTTTTCTCCCTTCCCCTTGGGAGCTTGTGTTCCAAAGCCAGAGCAACCCCTAGAATACTTATGGACAGGCCAGTGCTACATGAAAAGGAGAATTTTACCCAGATCCTGTACGAGAACCTCATTCAGGCTGGAACCAGGCCTACTTTGCTGTTTAGACCCTGTAGCTCTGTGGATGTATTTAAATCCCAATCTATGATTTTCTTCTTTCTTAGTAATCAATATTCTACAGAATAAAAACTGTAAAGCATGCTAAAGCCAAACTTTGCTAGGTTGCCAGGTATGTTTGTACGATTAACTTCTGTACAGATAGCACAATAGTAATAAAAATGGCAACTAACCTTTCTTGAAAACTTAGTTTGTTCCAGGTATGATTCCAAGTATTTTATATGTGCTATATCATTTAATCCCCCTGACAACCCTATAATCCCTGCTTTACATATGGAAAACTAAAGCAAAGAGAGTTTAAGCAACTTGTCTGAGCTTACATATCTAGCAAATGGTGGAACCAGGATTTAAGCCGAGCAGTTTGACTACAGAGTTTGTGTCCCCTCCCTACTAGCTTCTCTCTTGTAAAGCCTGTGAAGGTAGTGTGTCTTGGGTCTCAAGAACTTCTTACTTCATTCATGCTGGGATAACAACTGAAATGTTATCCTAGTTACAAATCATGACATCTGGAGTTTCACTTTTCTTTTTTCTCTCTCATCAATTAAGGCATTAAGGTAAAGGAATAAACTGCACTATCATGAGAGATACCTGCCATCTCATTGAGAGATCATTTGGGTTCAAGTTAACAAAAATCTTCTGAAGTTTGCATAAGCCAAGGAGAGATTTTGAGGAGGATATAGGGTTATCTCGTGGCACTCAAAAGCAAGAATACAGCCGGGCCTGAGAAGGGACTAAAAGTAGGAACTGGAAAGTCAGAAGTCAGGATTGCTCCCTTTCTAGTTGTTCATGTTAGATGTCCAGAGGCAAGAAAGGGAAAGGAAGAGTCAGGTAGTAAAAAGGGAAACACTCCCACCTCCACAGATAAAAAGACTTCAGTGACAAGGGTGGAGGCTGAACATATACTTTTCTGTGTACTACATCACTTAAAGGGAAATGCCAAGTTCAGGTCATGCTGGTCAATTGCTTTATATGTATTTAAAGCGTATGTATGTAACTAAAGTAGTCCCTTTCAGCTATTTCCTACCGTCCTGTTCTTCCATAAGCCTTGCTTATTCTCACTTAATCAGTCTTAAGTTATGTCTTTGCAACTCTTCTATCATTCAGAGGATAAGGCCCTTGATTTCTCTCCTTCTCCTCCCCAGGCCTTTGACCTGTGCCATCTGGGGCCTGGTAAAGTCAGAAACCTGCCTAGTTTTAATCCTTAACATTCATCTTATACTTTTACCCTCTCTGTTCCTATGGCTCTGCTTTCCTTGTCCTTTTTTTTACTCTTTCTTTTCCCAATAAACAGCTACTGGCTCTTCATGTTTCTAAGGGCCTTCTCCCTCATTTCCCATTAGATGAGCTCCAAATTCTTGGGCTTGAGGGTCCTCCCAACTCATGTCCTGTCCTACCTATCCCAGTGGTTCCCAGCCAAGTCCTTCATTCTAGCCAGGCCATTTACATACTGATTTAGAAACACCACAGACATAATTACTATTCCAAGCCTATGCTAGTGCAGATCCCGTTGATTGTAAAGCCCTTTCCTATTCCTTTCTACCTCTCAGAATCCAGCTTATTCCTTGGGGCCCTATATAAGTCATTTCCTCTAAAGAGTCCTATATGGCCTTTCTAACACCTATGGTGACCAAGTGTCCTGGTTTTTCTTGGGATTTCCTAGGACATCTGACTTTTGGAATATTCCTAGCAAACCAGGATGGTTAGACATCTCTCAGGACCTCACTATCTCCCCTCATTATACTGCCTTGCTAGAGCAAGAAGCCCCATGAAAGCACCAGCAGCCTGTGCTTCAGTACTTAGAAGGTCCTTTCTGCACAGTAAATGATGCTTTCATTAGGCAGAGACCTTTTTATTTCCCATATCATACAGAATATAGTGCTGTGTTCATTCTGATTAATGCCTATTCAGTGAAGAAGGTAGTTAGTTTAGTTCTAAGTTGGCACTGTATCTAAAATCTGTGTGTTGATATATTTGTCTTTATTTTTTCCAGCCCAGATGACTTACTCAATGCCTTGAATGAGGGGATCAGTCGTGCTGATGTCATCATCACATCAGGGGGTGTATCCATGGGGGAAAAGGTATGAAAATATGGGACTTAGGCAAATGTACCTACTGTCATGCCTTACATATGATTGATTAACTGTGGTCTGGTTGGTATCTGGTATATAACCAGGCCTCCACAAAGGTAAAAATCCATGCAGTGTGTTAGGTTAGGGAGCTTACCTCAGGAGCCGCCTGGAGAATCCTACAACTTGCAGAATGGTTTTTGCTATTCCCTAGAGACTTGTAGTTTGTTTCTCATTCAATTTTATTATATTAGGACTTCCTTTATACATGATATATACCACCTAGGCAAAGCTCCAAGATCCTTCCTTGTATTTAAATATTTTCTCCCAGAGATGACAAACTCCCCCGCCTCATATTTCAAACCTTACCAAGAACCCTTATCTCCACTTCCTCACAGGGAAAAAAAAGGATTAGGAATTCCTTTGACTCTTTTTTTAGAAGTGATAAATAATAATAATGAAATACATATACACATATGTACTATGTATATATGATATTATTGAACTAAAATTATTTGCACATGGTAATGCTTAGTCCTATGAAAACTTCAATTTGAATATCTCAGTATCATTAACTTTATATATCCTTTTTTTTTTTTGAGACAGAGTCTCACTGTGTTGCCCTGGGTAGAGTGTCATGGCATCACAGCTCACAACAACCTCAAACTCATAGTCTTAAGTGATTCTCTTGCCTCAGCCTCCCAAGTAGTTGGGACTACAAGCACCCACCACAACGCCCAGCTTGTTGTCATTGTTGTTGTTATTGTTTAGCAAGCCCAGGCCAGGTTCAAACCTGCCACCTAACCACTGAGCAGTGGGCACCAAGCTAGCTTTATATATCTTAATGTGATATATTAGTCCATGATGACATTTGGTCCACAGGATAATGTTAAAGTAAAATATTATTTTCTATAATAACCAACCTTATATCTTGGCTCAACAACATTTCATATCACAAAATATTTTGCCAGCCTATAGCCCTTCTAAGTTTTATTTTATATTAATGACGAAACTGAAAAATTACAGTATTTTCATAATAGCAGTTTTTACTAAAATTCATATTTTCCAACAGCTTGATTTAATTTAAATGATATCTCATATGTATATGATCTAATTTAAAGTAAACATATATATGATTGTTCTTAATCTCTGTCCTCTCAAGCTATACAACTGCCTAAATTTATAACCTAACTCTTTGAACAGTGAACTCTATTGGCTCTGAGAGCAAATATCAGACTTTAGTACCCGAACAGAGGATGCCTGCCTTCCATTCACAAACTTTACCCTGAACAGAGGATGCCTGCCTTCCATTCACAAACTTTAGTTTTAGGGTTTTTCAGACTAGCACTTCAGCTGCCAAAAGCCACGGAAGAGAAACAATCTCAGTCCAAGACTCGCATCTCAGATTCTCTCCAGAAGTGAAAGTATTGATGTGTGGGTAGATGTCCTTATGGCAGAGAGATTGCTAGGTTAGTGTTCCCTGATAGTCTCCCAGAATTTAGCCCCAGGTAGAGCAAACTGCCGCAGACCTCTCCTGATATCACAAAGGCTTGGGCTGCAGTCTGCGCTGTGGTAGGTCTATAAGAAATAATTTCCAGTGTGTCCACTTTCATTACCGTCCAACTGCCTGTGGTACTCTGAAATCACAAGAGCAAACCCTGAAGCCAGGACTATTTAAATGTTAAATTTGTTATTTCCAGAGATTGTTTCATATATAATCTATCTTAGGTCCCAGTTACCTTAGTTGTGGGATAATGCCTATTGTGCTGACTAAAATTAGTCTTTCCTAGTACTTTTAGAGAAGTAATAAGCTTATAGCATACATAGGCTAAGCTCTACTGTGGTAACTTCTCAATCTAACTTTCTTTGTTACTGCTAACAAAGATGTCAGTTAACCTAGGGATTTACTCACAAGTAAACAAAGCCAATATAGTTAAGCATATTGGTCTTATTTATTTCATTTTCTCTGTGGTAAGATACTTACACTAAACCTTTAATTTGGTAAGAAAAAGAATTTAGGATCTGATCTCCCACAGTATTCCTTAGGAGCTCATAACTGTCTCTCCTGCCTCCTTGTGTGGAATGAGATAATAAAGAAACAGAAAGAAAGACATAAAACGTATATACAGCATACTCCTGCCAAGCAACTAGTTGTAGTTGCAAAAAGTATTTCAGGGTACCTTAGTAGCAGAAAGAAAAGCATAAAAAATAAGACATCTACTTTCAGCCCAGGAGATGAACCTGAGAACCAGTTAAGGGGATTAAGGGAAGATCAGAAGCATTATGTAGCAGGCATGAATCTTAAGTGCAGAAACTCAGGGATGCTGACTTCTGCAGTATAGCCATAAAAAAGAAAAACAAAAAGAAACTCAGGTATGTAAGAAGTTTATTTGATTTGATTTAAATCAAATTCTGAGCATCTATACCATAGGACTGACAGGAAACGTTACTTAAGCCACAAATGGTGTTAAATAAAACCTGGAGCCCCTTGCACCAAATCATCAGGGAGACTCATGTGGTCACTAGTCTGTACTGGACAAACACAGAATATTCTACTAGTGCTATTAGGTCTCAGGTTTTTGCTTCTCTAAGGGTAAAACAGCAAGGGCATTGTCAAATCTCTAGGCACTTCCCAGAAAGCAAATGGCTTCTGAAACATTTATATTAATAAAACGTTACCTGTATGAACCTAACAGACTGAACATCTCTTCTCAGGTACGACAGCTCCCCCCACAAAACTTTTATATCAGTAACACATCAAACATACCTAATTATTTTCAGCATTTCTTTTTGTAAGATGAAAGAACAAATCTGGGATGTTCGAGGGACCCCCTAGGAAATTTCAAAGACAATTTTAGGTATAACAGATATTCTGAAAATTATTTCTTCTCAGTTTAAGTCTGATCTTTAGAAGGTAAAATCAAAAGAATTACCAAAAATGAATTGGGCCCTAACGATAAAATGTTTGAAAATAAATATAAAAGGTAACATGATTGCAAATAACCTTCACTCATTTATAAATGAGGACGTTTGTTCTTTGCTCTTTTAATTTTTTTAAATAATTAAAGACAAAATAAACAAAGCTAATACTATATTGTAGGGAAGACATCAATCATCACCACAGAAATAATAAGCTCTTCAAAACTGAGGGAACTCAGTAAAATTTATTTCTCAGCCTCATTTCAGACACAAATATCATACACCAAGGAAAATAAAAGTCTATTTCAAAGTTTTATATATTCTTTTATATTCTGGAATAAACTAACCCTTTACTTTAGAACAAAGAGCAATCCCTCAGGTCTGTAAAGGCCCTTGAGATCTTTTAAGTGGACCTGCAAGATAAAAACTATTTTCATAATAATATTAAGACTTTATCTCCCTTTTTTATTCTTTTCTCATTCTCCTTCTCTCATGAGTGTGCATTTGGGTTTTTCCAGCACATCATTATAATGATGTGTGATATCTCCTCAAATCAGAAGCAGCAGACATGAGGCTCCAACTGACTTCTATTAAGTTAGATATTAAAGAGATTTTCAAAATTACAAGCCATGCATAAAAAGTAAGTTAACATTGGGCGGCACCTGTGGCTCAATGGGTAAGGCGCCCGCCCCATATACCAAGGGTGGTGGGTTTGAACCTGGCCCAGCCAAACTGCAACAAAAAAATAGCCAGGCACTGTGGCAGGCTCCTGTAGTCCCAACTACTCAGGACTCTTGAGGCAAGAGAATCGCCTAAGCCCAAGAGCTGGAGGTTGCTGTGAGCCGTGACACCACAGCACTCTACCAAGGGCAACAAAGTGAGACTCTGCCTCTTAAAAAAAAAAGGGGAAAAAAAGGAAGTTAACGTGAAGTGCCTTCACCACTGCCATATTCAAATGAATCAACAAATAAATTTTTTCTTTATCGTTGCAGTTTTTGGCCGGGGCTGGGTTTGAACCCACCACCTCCAGCATATGGGGCCAGCGCCTTACCCCTTTGAGCCACAGACGCTGCCCCCAACAAATAAATTTTTAAAAATTTCTTAGTTTTAATTTCTTTTTTCTTTTTTTTTGTGAGACAGAGCCTCAAGCTGTCACCCTGGGTAGAGTGCCGTGGCATCAAAGCTCACAACAACCTC